ACTCGGCCGCTCTCTGATAGACGGAAAGGTGGCCGACCATTCTGGTGAGCATGGGCTCCATGTGCTCTGACTCCTGTTGCAGCTTCCACTGGGCCATCCAGAGGAGCTTGTAAGCCGTCTCGTCCATGAGTAGGGCCATTTGTGGTGAGGGTTAAGTGAAATGATGATGAGATTGAAGTTGTTATTGGTTGGGGGGGTTACCAAAATCTCAAAAAGGTAGATGTGGCGCTTGCTGGTCTTGTATGGATTTGATACTCGTTGATCTCGTAAGAAAGAGGTAAGGGTTCTTACAGGATTCAATAATGGATAAGTTTTGATGAGGTGTGGTGTTTTTCGTATAGATGGTTGCTCGTGGGAACTTGGTTATGTCTTTCATTGACTTGTCATGGAATTGCGTCCTCTCTCTTTTCTCTCCATGTAAGCAGGCACTCCCCAAGAAGAGGCCACGAGGCGTAGAAGTATTGCGCATTGTCCCCATAATACTCGACCTGTCAGTGGTCGGTCGGTTCGGGCGCAGTCCAAGTCAGTGTGTCGTGTTCAACAATCGTATGACAAACTTTCGAGTTTTTTGGTTTTGGGGGGGCTTCTAGTCAATTCCGAGGCACATGAAACCACATTAAGACGCGCGGCGAGGCAGTAAGGCAGCGAAGGGCGGGCACATGCGGCTGTGTGCTTTGGTTCGGCCATTCGGGCGCGGGTCGGACCTGGGCACCGAATTGGCGACAGGGTTACGGAGGAGGAGGGATGACACACAAGGTTCATCCCTTCATGGTATAGAGGACTCGGCCCGTGGGTGGATACGAGATTACGGACGAGTGAGGTACTTGGACATGGTTGTACCTAGCGAGTAGGATGTAGCGAGAAGCGAGTAGCGAGGATGGACAAGTACAAGTCGAGAGACAGAATTGAATATTCAGAGAGAGAATTAGTCCCCAAATGATGAAAACAAGAAAAATAGTCACGCAACTCCGAAAACCCGAAACCCAAGCAAAGCGGACATGTCCAGCCCCGGCCTTCGCTCGCTCTTAGTCGTGGTTTCGTAGATGCCATTCCTTTTTCAGCATTGCCATGGGATCATTTTCCTGTAGTTAGTCCACTGTACTTGCAGTAGTACTAAAAGAAACCCTCAGTCCACGTCCAACTTGGTACTTGTCACTCGCAGTCTCCGAGATCTAATGACATATGACATAGTTTATCCTCGTACTTTGTGTCCTTTGTAAACTTTTTGGGGATCTCGGGACTCTCGTTGACATCAAAGTATTATCAGCTGAGAAGGAGAATGAACGAATAGGTTTGCTATTGCGCACAACTAGCTCAACCTTGGTTCCTTGAGCCATATTTACTCCATTTCCTTGTTACTTGGTAAAGCATCTTCTTTCGAGTCTCATTTCACATGTCACGTACCTTGGGACTTAGATATCCGGATCATCCTCTTTCTCATTCGACCTTTGAAAAAAACCTCCCGGGGTGAGTGCCGATCGGACATCCCACGTTGCTCTCCACGGTATGCTTTGTATACTGCCACCTTGCGTAGTCATCAGACGGCAATCTCATGAATGATACACATCTTGGCACATAATCTACTTGCGACTTGTGAGAGATCACGTTAGGTGAGAAAGAGTTCCTCGCAGGTCCTATCTGTGCTGTGATACACCTGCAAGTATCGACAACTTGTAGAGTGACTACCTCCTTACTTGCACTGTCCCTGTACACAAAGTACCCGTACATCCCACGACACGAGGTCATCAGCTCCAGATGAATCACGTCAAAGGTAAAAACTTGGATTTCTCGACCTCTCTTTCGTTGTACTGGCTGATCACTTTGCTTCAGGAAGAATAGGTGTCAAGAGCACAAAGATTATCATTATTCCTCGACTTTTAGAGGCTGTCCATGTATATAGGCACCATCACTGAACTGTTCAAAGGGGTATCATCGCGCTGGTCAATCTCGTGCAAAAATCCACTCCATTATTTCGTATACAAACTCCTCTTCCGGGTGTGATGTGAGTAATAACACGCCATCATACCCATCATTAAACCACAGGAAATAGCGTCACAAAGGTGTGATTCAACTAAGGCCTTCCGTAATCGGTGACAACGAGTGTGTTTGGCCGCAATTGAGAGTATACTCTCACGTTTGATCTGGCCGACGCTTTTAGGGCTGGGCTAGACTTGGGTTTCAGCGGTGCTGCTGGTCCCGCTCGCTTTCCTGTGCACCATGTGCATGTGATGCTCAGTCGTGCTGGATGTTGTCATCACCGCAAAGATGGTGCTGACCAGGAAGAAAAAGCCGGCAATGAAGGTGAAGGCTTCGGTCGTCTTCCAACAGGCCTTGTATCCCTCGCCGATCAATTCTTCCCATCCGACCCAGTTTTCATTGCAATCCCACTCAATCAAGGCTCCAAATGCGGAGAAGAAGGCCAAGCTGAGGAGGCAGTTGATCACCGCGGCGCAGACGGGGTACCAGTTGTAGGTCCAGATAAGAATGCTTCCGTACATGATGGCAATGCCAGCAAAGATCTCGGTGAAACATAGACGTGCGCCAGGGTATTTTTCAGTGTCCTGCCAATGGGCGAGGAACCAGCTGACGATACCCAGGATGATCTACAGAGACAACGTCAAATGCATTAGCAAGTGGTCTCGTCGACCCAGTCACCTCCTCAACCAACTCCTGGGAATGGAAGCTGGTAAAAGGGGAGAAACTGAAGAAAACCACAATCGCACCAACGCTGTCAGACACCTGGGAGGTTACTTACCCCACCAAACAAGGCCTCAGCCTGGTACAAGAACCGCGAGACGTTGCGGATGACGACCTCGTTGGGTTTCGATATCTTCTCAAACCTCATCTTGCTGGTCAACTAACACTTAGATGGTGTTGTCGGATGCGTATGAGATAGCTTGTTCTTTGGTTTTGACAAAACAGACAATTCTGCTGTCGATTCGAGCTGTTGGTCATGGAGGCGACAAAGTGGGTTCGAGCTTCTCGCATGGTTTATATAACTGTCATCACATCATGTCGACCATATGCTGTCAAAGCAAAAGATTGGAAGCCACATGAACACCAACCGCGACAGCCCTATCACACCATAGTAGTGAGAAGATAATGGTGCGACCATAGCTCCTTCGCGAATAGGAGTCCCTAAATGTCCAATAGCTGCACTCATTGTCGATGTACTTGTTCAAGTACAAGAAATGGCGGCGCTTGATTCAGAACGTGAGAATCACTCGCACAGAATGCCGTGCCTGCGAAATGCGTGAAGCCGTCGACTAGAAGATGCGGCCAAGGCAAGAGTATTGTCATCAGGTGAGGTGCATTTCTCTGCTGGGATAGAGGTGGGTGGTAGGGTGGCGGGTCGCGGGCTTTTTCCGGCGTTTGGGTCTTGGACAGCGTCAATCATCTCATGATTGCCCAAAGCTTGTCGATGCGGGACCGCCCTGGGACATGTGCAGAGGTCCATTGGCTCCAACAGGTACCTTGCTTCACGACGGCGCAGGATGGCGCAAAAGGATAACTTTATCGACAATGATGAGATCCAGGCATCCCCATCTGATCAGATCTTTAAAACGTCGTAACATGGTCCCTGGGGAGTTTAGTGGTCGCCCTGCAGGAAATCCGTCGACCACAGCATATCCAAGAGAATATCGTTCGTTTCAGCGCAGCTATCGACAGACATCATTGACAGGACAACCATTGTCTCGTTCTCCATGCTGCCACAGAGCCAGTACTCCATCTCACTCGCGCCCGCCCCCGCTGCTGGGCGGCGCAATGGCGAATTCAGTGTCGGCGGCGATATCTCCTATGCCACGAGGAAGAAGAAGATCCCGCGCACCAATCGTGCTTGTGATCTTTGCAGGATCAAAAAAGCCAAGGTTCGTCCATCTTTCCACACACCTGGAAAGAAAACGTCTGATCAGCGATTGCAACAATAGTGCGATGGAGACACACCGTGCAAAAGCTGCACGCGAAGGGGAACCTCGTGTACATATACCCATGTACGGAGAAATTCCCGGCCATACACGGTATTGGCGTAAGTTGACATAACCACACTCGATTAACCCTGTCACTGACCGGTGTCAAGGTATGCCGAAATGCTTGGGCGACAGCAAGCCACTCTTATCGAGGCCGTCCATATCCTTCATCACCGTCTCAGAACAGGGGAGGCAACGGACGATCTTGGCGCTCAGTTCATGAAAGAGGACTCGAGTGTCAATGATATTCTGCATCATCTAGGGCTGACCCCTCTCGAGGTTTATGAGGCCGACCCCGAACACGGCGAAACCGGTCCACAGTCGACGGTTTCACCGGTCAGCTCCCCTACAACCACTCCTGCCAGTGCCGAGGACAGAATCACACAGTCTCAGCTGGAATGGGGGGACTACCAGGTCCCCTTGGAAAATCCAGACAAAGCGGCTTTTGTTGAGACACCTGCTATGCAGCCGCAAGACCAGCCTTTCAGTGGTGTTGAGCCCCTGACCACGGATGATCCTTTCCACTATGATTTGTGGGGAAATGACAGCGGGCTGGAGGCACAGAGCTTCCTTGTTCCCTCGCCATCACCGCAGGACGCTTTTTCAGATGCACAGTCTGATTGGAATTTTTCAGAGTCGTGCCCTCTTTCCTACCTTGCGCCTGCCGGGAAGTCAGGGCATCACCAGAACGTTAGACTTGTATTTTAGTTGCCATCACTGCTGCAAATCACAACTTCACTTCTAGCTGGAAGTAGGGTAGGTGTCTGACAGGGCGTTGTGCTGGGTCCGGGGATAATTGAACTGATAGACTGGCTGACTGGATGACTGGCAAATGGCTTTTTGTTCTTTTATCCGCGATGGAGTCGAAGGGGGCGTTAAAGCGGCAATAATTGCCAAGGCTGCGAACTGCGCTGCAAACTGCGCCTGTAACTCCGCAGCCTCATTGAACGCGGTCCAAATCCATTTTTTGTGAGACGCGACTTCTAGCATTTCCAGTATTTGTATCTTGGTAGCTCCCGACCGACAGCCATAATGTCGCTGTTTGGCCAGTCCTCCTCTGCGCCAGGGACATCAGGTCCAGGTAGTCTATTTGGTGGTGCCAGCTTAACTCCTACCACTGATGCCCAAGGGAAACGAAAGTCCATCTTTGACGGTTCGACCTCACAATCATCCCAACCCTTCTCTTTCCCAAGCCTCAACACCACAGCCCCAACTTCAAGCGCTGCTCCATCTGGTGCACTGTTTAGTCTCGGGGGCCCTGCAAAGACTTCTGCTCCTTTCTCCTTAGGCACGACAACAACAACAACAACAACCACTGCTCCATCGACAAATCTGTTTGGAACGACAACAACTACTGCCCAGCAACCAGCACCAGCATCGACTTCCTTCTTCGGCGCCTCAAACACACAAGCACCCGCGAGCAATACGTCTTTTTTCGGTGGCGGCGGCGGTGGTGGTGCCTTCGCAGCCGCAACAAACACAACTGTACCGCAGGCAACTCAACCAGCAGCCGCCCCTCCGCAAAACAATCGAGATGCCGCATATTTTAGCAGCCTCCTCGAACGCCAAAAGAAAAAGCCGAGACTGTGGGCTGATGGCACTGGCCGTCAGAATCAGTTACCCAGCCTTAGTATGGACTTGGGAGATCTGGCCAGACGGGCACAAGAGATCAGGCAACGCGGGGCGAAACAAACGGAGCCTCTGCCAGACAGTCGAGCACATTATCTGTTGGCTGGCTCCGGGGTTGCCCCTGGTCAAGCTTATAAGGATTTTCAAGCATTGGGACCGGATGAATCTGCACCTGTGTCACGCATGGCGACGCAGGCTTTCGCCGATGAATCTAGCGCCTACCTTCGAGACTTGAGAGTCAAAGGTCGGGAGGCGATGCTGAAGGAGAGTATGGAACGCGTCTACCGTGAAGTCGACAGCTTCATCGAGGAGAGCTTGGGTATCGACTTTGAGGAACAAAAGGCCAGAATTATGGAACATCTCGGGTTGGCGTCTCCCGAGGACAACGCGGGAGCCGGTGGTGGCTTTGGTAAAACCAGTGGTCGGAGCAAGGAAGGGGCTTCTGAGACGTCTCGAGCTACACGAAGCGTGTTTGGTCGCACGGCAATGGAAAAATCCATCATTGGCACTCCAGGTTCCGGTGCTGGGACGACATCTTTCTTCAAAAGTGAAGGTGCGGCTCCCGTACCGGCAGGGCCTCCCCGTTCGAGTTCACAGGTGCAGCGCGAGCTCAGGGCGAAGGAAAAGTCATTCATCAGTAAAGTGGAGGATCTCAATCAAGCTAGGGTGCGAGAAGAGTCGTACGCTCTTCTGCAAAATTTCGCCGAAACCGAAGAGCAAAACAAGGCAGACAGCCCCCGGCAAATAGTGGACGCCTATCAAGCTTTACGAGAAATTACCAAGGAAGGCCAGTCAACAGTCAGGGAACGACAATATGCTCAGGCATATCTGGACGAGACAACCTCGGCTCCGGCCACTCTCAAACTGAAGAAGCAGATCGTTGAGGGCTCTCGGACCTTCTTGGAAAAGGCATTCTGGCGTGAGCTTCGATCTTTGATTGAGAAGAATGCGAGAGAAGCGGCTTTGGGAGGACAGCCAAGTGTCATCAACATCGTGCGGGCTTACATCCGGTTGCGGGCTGCCCGACGAGATCTTGCCCCGGATGGAACTGAACTCCAACAACTGGGCGGCGAGAGCGGTGACTACTGCTGGGTCTTAATTTTCTACTTGCTGAGATGCGGTTTTGTTAAAGAGGCGGCAGAGTATGTGAACAACGACCCTGCCTTCCAGTCTGTTGAGCGACGCTTCGTCTCATACTTGACGGCATATGCAAACAACCCAGATCGGCGACTGGGCCGCAAACTGCAAGATATGATCGACAACGAATACCAGAACCGCACAAAGGTCGGTCCGAAGAACACGGTTGACCCTTACCGAATTGCCTGCTACAAGGTGATCGGAAGATGTGATTTGAGTTCAAGACATTTAGATGCTGTGGGACAGGGTGTTGAGGACTGGTTGTGGCTCCAGTTCAGCCTTGCGCGCGAGACCGAAATGTACGAGGAGATCTCTGGCGAGATCTTTGGACTTGAACAGATTTGTGAGACAGTCACCGAGATCGGGCAGAAACATTTCCAGAAAAATCAAGTTGAGGGTTCGAGTGGTTACGGCACCTTTTTCTTGATGCAGATTCTTGCAGGGATGTTTGAGCAGGCTGTGGACTATCTGCACAGTTTCAATCCTCTGAGCGCAGTGCACTTTGCCATTGCCCTGTCATATTACGGGTTGTTAAGGGTGTCAGACTTTTCGGTGGCTGGCAACGAGCTCTGTAAGTATTTTTCGTCTGATGCACTCCATCTGATGGTGCTGACTTACTACGCAGTGACGTTCTCTACCACGCAGCAACCCATGATCAACTTTGTCCCACTCGTGGCATATCATACAGGAACCTTTCGAACGGCACTTCCTGTGCCTGCGGTGGATTATCTCTCGATGCTTTGCCTCAACTCTGATCTGCAGCCTGCAAGCCTGGGCCTGGTCCACATCAATGCCTGTCATGAGTGCTTGCGAGAACTCTGTCTGGAAACCCGTGAGTTTGCAAAGTTGTTGGGCGATATTCGTAGTGATGGCACGCGGATACCGGGTGCTATCGAGTTACGGGCCAGGTTGATTCACCTTGACACGCGGGAAGAATTTTTGAGATCAATCACCAGCCAGTCGGCTGCCATCGCGGATCAGCGCGGGCAAATCGCGGATGCAGTACTGCTTTATCATCTCTGCGAAGACTATGATAATGTCATTAGCGTCCTCAACCGAGCTCTGGCCGATGCTGTGACGCTAGACTTGGGCGAGGCACCGATGCAGCTGCAACCTCTGAAACCGCGGCAGTCCAACGGTCAGAGCGAGCCATCCAGCAGCAACCACGGAGGACCTCAGTCGTCACTGTCACTTACACAGTCCACGTCGTCTCCCTTCGAATTGGGCAAGAACATGATATCGTTATACAATGAGAATGCCGCCTACTTCAACCGAATCTCGAGCGCGAACCGTGAGATTTGCGGGGTGCTCATCAGATTGCTTTCGGTGCGAGAAAATCTCGAAGCCAACCCGCCTCGTTATATGACGGCGTTAGAGGAGCTCAATGACTTGGGCTTGTTGCCATTGCGGGCCAATGGATCCATTCCGACAATCAGAGCTGCTGCGACAGCCTTTAGCGCCCTCCCCCAAATCCTTGCTCGTTGCGCTGGAGTGAGTGTCGTCTGGGCGGTGCGGGCCATCGGGGGAGAACGAGACAATATCGTCCGCAATGGCAGGTGGGAGGCAGGATATGGTGGAGATGCGGACGAAATGAAAGACCAACTCAGCAACATGGCCAAGGACCTGATGGTCTTTGCCGGGCTTGTCAAATACAAGTTACCGGGTCGGGTCTATGACATGTTGACGCGAGCAGGCGCCGAGGTTGGAGGGTTCTGAAAGAGATCGCCCCCACAGTCTATGGCGCTCGTATGGCACTAGATGCATTGTGATGGGTTCTGGCAGAAGGAATGAAAGGCATATTGTGGAGGCCAAAGAGCGCAGCAATCGACATGGTCATTCATATACGTGGGTGAGAAGGGAACGCGAATCGGATACTGAAAGGATCTACGAGGTACTGTTGGCAAGGCCGATGTCGGTGCCTGGTACCAGCTCCACTACTTAGCATGCAGCTAGATGATCTGATAATGATAATCAGCCCCAAAGGAGGTTTCGTGATAATCTTGGGATGGTCAGGTGCGAAGTCACCCGACTTTGTGTATGCTTCTTTCGGCATCTTGTAGAATTTTTTCGAAGCGGTGAAGTTGATGTGAAGAAGCACAATGTGACATCAGGTGTCTTTATGCTTTAGGGAGGAAAACCTTGACCAAGGGTCGTTCACTATGCCAGGTAATCAGGATGAAGGAGACAAGGATCATCCACAACTTAAGTTCGACACTACCGAGGTAAGTACAAGGAGGTACAAGTGTGTAGGCGACAGGGATGTGTACTTGGAGATCCAGTCAGGCTCAAATGGCTTTTGCTGGCCCAATGGTATCGACATATACAAACAAGTACAAGGAGAGAGGTTCTATTTTACTTCTCGTGGACAGACAAGAAAGACATTTGATATTGAGACTCAAGGGCAACCATCCTCCCTCAGATGAAAGGTATACGAGGACTGGAAAATATCCCGATACCCCTCCGACCCGTGGATCGTGAAAAAAAGTGATACCCAACCATTACCACCACAAGTACAAGTATGGTGGAGTGATGATGCCACTGGCACTAAGGTATTGGCCATTGAATATTTTCTCATGGGGAAAGCAAAGCGCGAGTCGACCAGGTTTGCTCGATAGAGCCTCTTAGCTGTCTGTACGAGGTGCTGCGTATTCACCCAAGTATATTGCGAAGGAGACTTACCTGCTGGGTCATGGATCGAGAGCAAATACAAAGGTCACAGCTATACCGTGTGTCAGTAGCACTGTGTATAACACACATACTTGTAGGTATGTCCTACTCTGACCCTTCAAAGAAATCTCCCGATCTAGGTAAACAGTTACATACTTATAGGTGGAGGGTACATACCTAAGTAGGCATTAACGATGGCACCCCCCAAAAAGGCTAGTGTGCTGCTGATAGTGAGCCTAACACCGTCGCTAATGGGCTCTGTTGGGCACAACTAGACGTCGCGAGGTGCCCGGAGGTCATGTGCGACAGGCGATTGGGGCCACTTAGGCACCTACAAAGGGGCCACTAGGCCTCGCTTCAGGGGGGGTGTTCGGGCTCTTCCCGTCGTTCCCGTCCCTCCTTCGTACTCCGTACAGGCACTGACAAGACAACTGACAGGCTCCCAAGACCACCTGCAGGTAAAAAGCAGGCACAGATACGTAATCTTATCAGATTTGATTGCCGAATCACTTCTCCGAAGCTCGCCCTCCCTGGCAAGCCTGGCCAGTTAGACGGTTGTGGCCGTTCCCAGACGCACCACTTGTAGCCCACTTTCAACCTTGTGTCACCACCCTGCTCGCCTGGTGCGCACCCTGTCCTAACTGCGGTGAGGTTTCTCCCACGTTCGTCTGTTTCTAGTCACCGTGTCGTGGCCACGTCTCGTCTGCCTTGCTAAACGCTGCTCACTACTCCTACTAGTCTAGCCATGACTCGGACCTAATATAATGCTATGCCCTCTGGGTTGGGTCAGGCTTTAGATCCTCCTCCTCCTCCTCCCCACCTCTCGTCCATCACCAACCCTGCGCTCGAGCTCTCTACATTCTCCTCGCCCTCCTCTCCTCCTTCCCGTGCACTGCAAGATGCTGCTGGGTCAGCTGAGTTGGGGTCCCAATCTGAATCGGGTACTCCTCTTCGTCAGACGCTCGAACCTGTTGCCTCTCCGGTGACAGCACCCACCTCCCACACGATCCAGGGGCGCCGAGGGCTGGTTTCCCGTGCGTGGAATGCCATCATGTCTCGCGGCTTGCTCCTGATACGCTCCTCCCCGGCCGTCGGCACGGGGTCATATGGCACGGTCCAGTTGGTAAACGACAGGTCAGGCTCGGACCTGGAATCGGAAGATGAGGAGGATACGCATCGTGAGAGTGTCTCAAGGAAGCGTCGTGGCAAGAGAGCTCGGTCCGCTCAGGATCTCCGGGACGGTCAGGGTCGTTCCTCAGATGAGCGACTACTCTATCAACAACGACGCAGCTCAGAATGGACGCATCGGAGGTCCTCCTCTTCCGTCGCCAGCGAAGTCGGGATGGGCCTGGACGCCAAAGCATCCTTCGCCAACCCGGCGATGGCCGGGAGCAAGGCAGAGTCTTCCAACTCGAGTGCCCGCACTGCAAGTCTTTCAGATGTCGATCAAGAATACATACCCTCTACAGAAGATCCCCCGGACAACTCTCCATATCCAGAGGTTCGAGCCTCAGTGCCGGCCACGGACAACACTGCTTTATCAATCAGCACCCCTCGAATGTGGACGCTGTCTTTGCTGTTTGCAATAGGCGGCTCAGCCACCAATCTGTTTTTCTCGTTGAGGTATCCGAGTGTTGCCATCACTCCGGTTATTGCTCTGGTGCTAGTCCATCCCATGGGAAAGCTTTGGGATCACCTCCTCAAGCGCGCAGATGACCAGGAACAGTTTTTCGTCAATGGCTCACTTCAGAAGGATGATATTCCAATGTTTCAAACGCGACTGCGACGCCTGCGGCTCTGGTTGGCTCAGGGCCGCTGGAACGAGAAGGAACACGCTTGCGTATACATTAGCAGCAACGTCTCGTTCGGATTCGCCTTTGCGACCGATGTCATTGTCGAGCAGCACAAATTCTACAAGCAGGATGTTCCGATTCTGTATCAACTTTTACTAACCATTTCAACTCAAATCCTTGGCTATGCGTTCGCCGGACTGACCAGAAGGTACCTCGTCCGACCTGCGGCCATGATCTGGCCCGGCACGCTGATGTCAACGGCCATGTTCAGTACAATGCACAAGGACGAAAACAAGCCGGCCAACGGATGGACCATTTCCCGTTACAGATTCTTCCTTTACGTCTGGGCTGCAGCGTTTGTATGGTATTTCTTTCCAGGACTGCTGATGCCGGCATTGAGTTACTTCAATGTCGTTACCTGGTTCGCACCCAAGAATGTAGTCGTCTCGAACCTTTTTGGCGTGGCTTCGGGACTGGGACTCTTTCCCCTGACCTTTGATTGGGCTCAAATTGCCTACATTGGATCACCCTTGCTCACTCCCTGGTGGGCAGCTGCGAATGTTGTCGGCGGACTCATTCTAGTCATGTGGATTATCGCCCCGATACTTTACTACCGCAATGTCTTGTTCTCGGGATATCTGCCGATTCTCTCCTCGGCCGTCTTCGACAATACGGGCAAGCCCTACGACGTGAGCAAAATCCTGACGCCGAACTTTGTCTTCGACAAAGAGGCCTATGACAACTACTCCAAAGTATACCTTCCCATCACATATGTGCTCTCTTATGGGGTTCAATTCGCTGCTCTGACGGCGTTGCTTACCCATACAACCTGCTGGCATGGCAGGGACGTCTGGCGACAATCCCAACAGGCCTTCCAAGAAAGACAGGAAAAGAGCAGTGCAGGGTACCAGCCTGTCCCAAGCTCTGCGGAGAATGGTCGATACGACCCCTCTCTGCGTAGGGTTGACAGTCAGTCTATTAAGGCTGGGGGCGAAGACGTCCACAACCGTCTCATGAAACGTTATCAAGATGTGCCAATGACATGGTACGCTCTAACATTCGTCACTATGCTGGGCGTCGGCATCTTCGTTGTCGAGTACTACCCGGTCCATCTCCCCTGGTATGGTCTTCTCATGGCTCTTGGTATCACCACCGTTCTCTTCATCCCCGTCGGTATCGTCATGGCTATCACGAACCAGCACAGCAGCCTCTATTTGATCTGCCAGTTGATCTGTGGAGTAGTCTTCCCCGGCCGTCCCGTCGCCAACATGGTTTTCGTGACCTATTGCTACATCTCCTCGGCACAAGGCATCAAGTTCTCCTCGGACCTGAAGCTGGGCCATTATATGAAGATTCCACCGAGACTGCTCTTCAAGGTCCAGATGGCGGCCACCTTGGTTTCGAGCTTGGTACAAATTACGGTTCTCAACTGGATGTTTATCAACATTCCCGGCATCTGCACGCCGGAGGCCATCAACGGATTCAACTGTCCCATTGCTCGTGTCCACTTCAACGGGAGCATTCTCTGGGGTGTTGTTGGACCACAGCGCTTCTTCGGTCCTGGTGCTCTCTACCGACACCTTGTCTGGGCTTTCCTCATCGGCTTCATCGCACCGATCCTAGTGTGGTTAGTGGGAAGGAAGAGCACGAAGAAATCCGTCTGGCGCAGGATCAATCTACCTGTCCTCTTTGGCTCTCTGTCCTGGATCCCCCCTGCGACGGGCTTGAACTTTTCGGTGTGGGCCGTGGTATGCTTTCTGTTCAACGGACTTATGAGAAGGAGAGCCCCTGGCTGGTGGGGCAAATACACCATGACCATGTCCGCTGCACTCGACTCGGGACTGGCTTTCTCATTGCTCATTGTCTTCTTTGGCTTCGTATATCCAGGTTGGACTGAAGGATTCAAGTGGTGGGGGACAGAGGTCTACAAACAAGGGTGTGACTGGCGCGCGTGTCCATGGTTGAAGCTGGGTCCAGGAGAAAAATTCGGGCCATGATTGAGAAGAGGTCTAATATCTTGGAGCAGAATGCTTCCGGAGAAGCACGAAAAACAATACTTTTCACGATCCACCAAATCACACAATATGAGGACAGCAGGCAGCCTGGGAAAATCCAGACCAGCCAAGACGAGCTGAGCCGATATTCTGATGCGGCAGGAAATACCCAAGCTATATAGGATGCTGTATGGGATTGCCATGGCTTGGTTGGGGAAGGCCCTGCGAAGAAACACCACGGGTCATTCATTCCAGCACAATG